ATCTAAAACAAAGCAAATTACATGCAACCACATCTAAAGTGCCATCGCTACACGGTGAAAAGAGGTAATTTTTAATTGTTTAATAGGATACTTTTTTTAACTCGTGAAAATATTCACGATCTTAGAATTATTATCATTACCAATATCATGATTGTATCTTAACATTTAACGGGACCCCCATTTAACCCTGTTAGGTTCATGTGGGACATTTGGAACTCTGTCTTTAGCCAGTCGACTGAGGCCGTGAAGAAAAACCTCAAGTTCTAGGCTGCCGAGTCCATCATGAGGAATAAGCGGAGAAAGAACCTGCCTCCGATTCCCAAGAATCTGGCAGAAATTAAGGAAGCCCTCGACAATGGACATCCGTTCGAAGACATCTACCAAGGTTTCGTCGAATTCAAAGATGGGAAAGTCGGATTCATTTTTGCAGACCCAAAACTTCTCGCTCTCGTTGAAAGTGAGTACACTGCTTTAATTTGCGAGTTGTTTTGATACTATGTTCTATCAAATTTATCATTTTGGGTAATTTTAAATTGTTTTAAAGGGGTTAGATACAACAACTTTTTTATCTTTGTACAATTACTTTTAAGCAAATTTATAAATTTTGGGTATTTGTTTCAGAGACTCAAGAACTCTTCGTCGATGCCACCTTTAAAACACGGCCTCACCACGATATCTTTTCTCAATTGTTGAACATCATTGTCATCTACAAAGATTACTCTGTCGCGGTGATGCATGTCTTAATGACATGCAAGGAGCAAGCACTCTACGGCCAGATCATGGAGCGGTTCAAAGCATTAGTTGGATCGGACTTCAAGCCAAAAAGTGTGATGTTGGACTACGAACGGGCGATCCTGAACACCATGCAAACTGCCTTTCTGGAATCGAGAGTGTCTGGATGCAGATTTCACTTCAGCCAAGCAGGTAAATAATATTTTAACCATTTAATTGATTTTTAACACGCTATTTTATCTTTTTTATTTACTTCTTTTTAGTTCTCCGAAAAGTGTGTGCTCGCAACAAGGAGGATTTCTATAAAAATGTTGACTTTAGGAATCTGATGCTCAAACACATGGCCCTAAGCACTCTACCGGCGAACCAAATGGTACCGGTATTCCAACAGCTGAAGCAAGAAGTGCTCCACTTACAACCACTCAGGCTCCGGAAGCAGAGTCCAGATAATGCACAGGAATTACTTCTTAAAGTGGTGGTTCCAAGGCATCGTTCCCCAGCTGATCTCTACGCACGGTCTTGCACATAAGACCAACAACGTCTGCGAAAGTCTCCATAAGAAGGGAGTTATTTCTTAACAATACTTTTGAGTTAACAATGTGAAAATATTCACGATCTGGTTATTTTTGTAGTTCATTATTTATAACTTTTCCCAAATTTTTCAGAATGTCTTTGAAGCTGGCAAAGACGTCGACAATCTGGAGATTCCTCTCAGATCTGAGGATGTTCGTCATCGAGCCAGCAAAAATCGATGTCCTACAGTTGGACAACAACATCAGGATCCGGAGGAACATCAAATTATCGAACTAGGTAGCGGCCAGAACTGTGAAGAATCAGGAGGAGCGACTGGCCAATGGGGAAATCACCCCCATTCAACACCTCCATTTTATGGCCCACAGAGTGCCCACTCCGGTTCTTCCGAATGACCCAGATCAGGATGAGGCCGATGAAATGGCCGCAGAAATGGCCGCCGATGGCTACGCCGATGATGAGGATGGCGACGACGAAGTCTTTGACGAGTAAGTATACCAAGTATAATTTCAATCATTTTCTAGTAATTTCTATCTATAATACGATGTTGATTAATTTCATATGAAACTTATCTTTAAAATGTGTTCATTAATAACTTATCTTTAAAATGTGTTCAATACTTTCAGACACGGAGATGATGACGCATTCCTGGCAGCCGCAGGGCCACAGGCAGATGGACAACAGCAACCGGGTCACGCCGCCGCAGGTCCAGCAGCAGAACCGTGTTGCATTTGCATGGCGAGCCCCAAGGACACAATACTACTGCCGTGCGGGCATGCCTGCATGTGTTCAACATGTGCAGCCCTTCTCGAAGCCCAAGGGCGTCTATTTGTGCCCCGTATGTAGGACACGGGTTACTTCGCGACATCGGCTGTTCTACGCCTGAAAAAATTGGCTGGAAATGGCTTTCTATTTCCTATTATTTTTACATCTACTTTCATTTTTCATGTATTTTTCTTATAAATTGACTAAATAAACAGATTGTACCTTTGATAACACTTTTATGATTTCCCGAGTTTTGTACATTTTGTACCGCGGGTGAAGAAGAAATTTTTGTAGGCTAACCCCTTGGGGGTCTCTGTAAAATACTTCAATTTTTTGAAACCTCTTTGGGGTTCCTGTCTAGTGGTTATAGTACTCGCTTCTCACCCGGACGACCGGGGTTCGAGTCCTGACAGGGATTCGAAATTTAGGTTTTGTTATTTGTTTAAAAAAACATTCATAAAGAGAGAGAGAGAAATGCTTCAAGACACTAAGGGAATTAATGGGTCAGGATAAACTGGTCAGCTGATTTGTACAAACTCCCCCCAGCGAAAAATAGGCCGTTTCACAAGCGGTTGATCTGTTTTTGTTATTTTTCAAAACACTGTGCTCAATCTGGGGGGAGTTATTCGTAACTCATATTTATTTTGGACAACTGATAAGATGCTAACGCTAAATGTACGCCAGTTTATCCGCGTTATTCACATGAACAGTTAACTATTTGTAGTTGAAGCTAAATTTTTTCACCATGAACATCTTTGGTCTTTGGCCTTTGGCATTTGGTCTTTGGCCAGTCATAAATACTACAGAAACAACAAGCATTGCACCGGATCCACTATTTGAAGACCTCCTGATTCAGGACAGGCTTGAAGTTGAAAAAGGACTGAACAACTTCACTACAGCTAACAGGCTTGAGATGGGACCCCTTGAGATCTGGCTTCAAGTCGACAGAGTACTGAAGAAGATTGAAAGGAAATTATACTTCAAAAGACGTATAGTTGCCAGAAAAATCAGACAAAACCGAAGAAACAAATCAGAACTTCACAAATGGCTTCTATTAGAAAGAGGATTGAAGGACACCGCCAATAAGATAGTCGACAAAAGACGTATTGTCTCAAGAAAAGTCAGACAAATGCAAGCCGGAAGAAAATAAGTTGTTCGTAAGCATAATAAGTACAATAAATGATTCATAACCATGTTTCTTTTATTTGTCTTTTATCATTGTGATAAAACCATTCATAAATTTTGCGATCTCAAGCTGGCATCGGCAGCAGAGTACCGGCCCCATGATTGAAAGGTCCTGGGTTCGAATCCGATGCCAGGTCGAGATTGTTTTTATTTTTTTTGAGTAATAAGAAGAATCCATATTTTGAGATTGTGAGAATATTCACGATCTTAAACCTTGTTCTTTTTTTTGTAAGATGGCGTTGGAATTACTAAACCATTTTTAATTAAATAAAAACTATTTAATTAACTATGGCCCCACTGTCAACATAACTTTTAGCAAATTATCCATTGTCCATACTATTAGTTACGAAGACCCTGCCTGTGCTTTAAAGTAGTAATGTATGAAATGCATTCAAAATAGTAAAATACTCATTGGTTTAGTATTATACTTTAATAGACGGTTAATGTGATTGTCATAGTTTAAAGTATCTTCCTTAATGGCGAATAGAACCTAATGGTTATTTGCTTATTTTTAATGGTCTCGACATTTGCCGGGACCTGCGCCATCAACCTTTGTCATTTTTATGATCTATCTCCAGAGGGCGCTATCTATGGACTTGTCCATGATCTTCAAGATCAACAGATGGCGCACATCGCAACTAATGAGATAGACCAAGTATTTATGTTTTCTTTGATAATCTACTGAATTTAAACTTGAATTAAAACAAATGAACTGATTTTTAGTAATATTACGACAACGAGAAGTAACTTGCATCCAGGTAACAACAAAATGAAAGGCAAAAACAAACTGTAGCCAATCGATGGATGGATGCCTTATTGATGGCCTGGATAAAACTTTCAGACAACTTTGCCTCCGGGCCCTTTTCAAAGGTCCGTACCCAATGATGAACTGATGCGTTCGCGCAGGTTCAGACATTACCATTTTTTAGGGCTATTGAGGCGACGGCCCATTCATTTTATAAACCGTATTACCGTAATACTATGTATAGTAATTCATATTCATA